ATAAATAAATAAATAAATAAATAAATAAATAAATAAATAAATAAATAAATAAATAATATCCGATCCGAATAAAAGTTGCAAATCACAACGGGTTGGCCATTTGCAAGAATCTTATCATGTGCGAGAAGAATGTGATAAATAATTATTACACTAGGATACCGTTCAAATGGTTCGAAAATAATGTAGATGAAAAATAATATCTGAGGCGTTTTGTACTGTTCACCCTACACTTCTGTCCGCGCCTTATCTGAAAACCAGTGTTTTGGTCAGAATATACGATCAATATATTTTCCGCTTCATCTATGGCTTATGAAATCTCGTTTACTCGTCTTTTTTCAACAACACTTTTGCAAATTTAAGGAGCTCCTTTTAAGAGAAAGCCGGCATTTATATCTGACGGTTTCTGATTTGTCACGCAGTAAAATCTTCGTAATGACCACCCGACTTTCGAAGTCTTCCAATTTGGGGTTGTGGACAGTTCGTATGGGCACATATCTAAACTTAGTTATCTTACAACATGAAAGCAGGGTGTTCACACTTTTTTCTCTACGATGAAGAAGGCACACTGAAGCAAATGAGAGAACGCCTTCTTGGCTCCACACGCCTTCTTCATCTAGCTGGCATTTGCATGCCTGCTTTTACTTTTCGGTTCAGGTCGTTTAAACTGTAGTGCTCAAAGTTGCTCACAAGTCGATTTGGTTGTCAATTTTCACGATGTGCATTCTAGCGACTGGCGACCCCGATAATCTCATAAGGATTAAAAAAAGTATGAGTTTGCTCCATGGTGCATTTGGTTAGTTAATCGCTCAGAGTTCCTTGGTTACTTGCTGTGTTGCCTACAAGAAACATCGACAGAAAGAGAGGACTGCTTCTCGATTGATTAGAGCTATGCAGTCGTTAGCTGATATAATACAACACGTGGCGGCTGGATACGATCTAAAATAAAAGCCACGGATGATGGCTACAAAAACCCCCTTGTCCTTAAGATCATGTCAAAATTTCCTTGATGACCCATGGCAATCTAGTTCGTGGCTCACTTCTCATTGGCCTATATTTAAACCAGTCACGATAGAAATTTACTGGTCTTCAGGCGTTTCGGGGTGCATCCGTCTAATTGACCGCTGCATGGTTAATCTCAACGAATTGTATCCTGTTGTGCGATGTGGTGTAGGTTGTCAAGAGGAAGTATTCGTTGGTTTGCACTAGGGGAAATGGTTCAACCAGTGCGACTATTGCGAGGAAGTGAGTGTGATTTAGGTGCATTTTACATTACATCATAATCCCTGTGGAGGTGTTCATTCTTTAGCGACCGAGCCGCTCCGAGCCTAGAAAAACCCACACAGTGGCAGTGTTCATTTCTAAGGCACTTTTCAATTGAAGTGGAGACTCCGAAAAGTAGAGGTGGAAAACTTTACCAACGAAGCTGCTCGGAAGCACCCAGATGACTAGAACGTGACGAGTTTCATGTCTGTAGTCTGCAAAGCAACGGAAAGTCATACAAGCTTCCATTCATATCAACTCGCACGAGTTTAAAATAGCTCGCCGTTTATATCTAGTGTGCCGTTGAGCAAAACTACTTGAGCGTTTCCGCCTATCATCATCATCATCATCATCATCATCATCATCATCATCAT